CTCCACTTCCAGGTACCATTCAATGTTATTCACTTTACCTGTCAGTGGTCAGAATGTTATGGCTGATCAGTGTAAAGTTTAGATATTATCCTAACATTACAACTCATCAGTCTGCTGCTGTTTCACCATTGTCCAATCACAGGGGTGGGAAGGTGACCTCACTCGACTGCTTAATTGCAGCCCAGAAAAGTCAGGTCACAAGGCTGTCCTTTTGCCTGGCAGAACAGAACTGGATGGACAAAATTACAGATTCATTGACAGATAAAATACTCATAAGTTTTTTTTCTACTTAGTATTTAGCTGTTTGCCAGGAATTCAGCTTGATTTAGAGTTCTGCTTACAGGAGGAATGCTGTAGTTTCTGTTTGGGCATGTACCTTTAAATCCTGACATTAGTGCCTTCCATTATATAATAGGACAAGGTTATATAAATAGCATTCTCAGTGTATGTACACGGATGGAGAATCTCCCAGCTAACGCCGTTTCCCATCCATCGGCTGCTCCGCGTCTTCATAGCCCACTAGCTCAGTGCTCTGTTGCTCTACGGTAATGTTCTCTGACGTATTGTCTGCCTCCGTCCTTTCCAAGGTGCGCGCCTTATGTAACATCAATGGATCAAGTGACATTTAAAGTGCACCTGTCACTGCGAATTAACATGAAGCAGTTTGTGATGGAAAACAAAAGACTAAGAAGATGTGGAGCTTAGATTGCTCTGTAAAGGGAGTAAATACCATGTCGTAACGGGGCTCATTCAACATAGTCCATTTCATAGGAACTGTCTATACTTCATTCAGTCATAAACCAGTGTCAGATCTTCTCTGGAAAATGGCAAAGTCCGGGATTGATAGATAGATAGATAGATAGATAGATAGATAGATAGATAGATAGATAGATAGATAGACTGGATCCTCCATCATGTCACAGTTTATGCTCTCTGTGTAATGTGTATGAAGTAGATATATAGATAGATAGACGGGATCCTCCATCATGTCACGTTTTCTGCCCTCGGTATAATGTGTGAAGTAAATATACAGTATAGATAGAGATAGATAGACTGGATCCTTGCCCTTATGTCACATTTTCTGCCCTCGGTGTAATGTGTATGAAGTAGATATATATATAGATAGATAGATAGATAGATAGATAGATAGATAGATAGATAGATAGACTGGATCCTCCATCATGTCACGTTTTCTGCCCTCGGTGTAATGTGTGAAGTAGCTCTACAAGTATTGACAATCAGCAGAAGCCGAGTCTGCGGCCCGCACGTGAAATGTTGATGTCTGGGTCCCGGTTGGCAGCTTCGGGAGTCGCTGGAGCGTCCACAATCGGCTTCAGCCAGACACAACTGCTGTCTGGCACTGTGGATGTGAGAAGAGGGCCGACACCTCCGAGCCGCTTTCACGGCACTGTGGAGCGTTCGGCCATTAACCCTCTCTTCCCCGGGGAGGGTTCCTCAGCCATCGAGACCAGAAACATGACATGCATGCTTTAATATGACTTCAACCCTTTTCCAGGACACAGAGGCTTTATAACCGTTATCAGTTATTCTGGCCAGAATGTTTTTTTACAACTCTGCTACAAAGTGTTGTAAGAAACTTTTCCTCTTCTCTTCTGGGGTAAGGAGCAGAGGGAAACACAGCCAAGGGAACTTGATTATATTTACCTGTGTTCCTGAAAGGAAGTCTACAAAAACCTACCTGTTGGTGAAGCCTGAAGACTGGTACACTTTAAAGCCAAACTCCAGGATAAGTAAATATTGCCCTCATACAAGAGTCATGTGACTTCTTCCTGGAATCTTGGTGAGCTTTGTGTATTTCTTCCAGATCTGTGCAGTAATCCAATGTGAAGCTTGGAGCTTCCTGTAATAAAGACCGGTCTCTCTCAATGCTGTAAAAGCCGGGTCACAGCATTGTTGAAGTGCGCAGGAACATTCACATTTACAATACCTCCCACCCCCCCCCC